CAAAGTTTTCCCTCGAACCTCGGTGGACACGTGCAAGTGTTGGGTTTAGTGCAGACTCCACCATTCTGGCATGGTTGGCTACAAACGGCTGTGGAAGAATTTCCAAATAAATTATCGTTCGAGCACAATGGATTTGAATCGAGTCTTACGTTCGCAAATTGGGTCGAAATTCTGCTTTGAATTCACCGGCATCCATCCGAATTCCGTTATTCCGTCCGACACATCCGCTAGCTTCTCGCATTTCATATGCATTTCCGTGGAGTGATCCGGAAGTACATGTCCTTTATCGCAGGTGATTTTGCAATTGTCCACATTACACTCTGAATTCGCGTTTTGCGTTATTGGATTGGTTTTACAACCCTTTTTAAATTCGCAATGATCGCCTTCGTAATCTTTGGGGCAGATACAAGTGTTGTTCTTGAGACATTCTCCGCCATTCTGACACGGTGGACTGCACTTGCCTATAAAATAAAATGTTGATTTTTAAAATGTAAAATAAACCAGACATTGGCCATTTAAATTGAATCTTACGTGTGCAGAACGGGTCGAAATTCTGTTTGGAATATTTGGCCTTCCACTGGCCTTGCTGGCATGTAATTGCCATTACTATTGTTCCGTCAGGGAGTTCAAAACCATTAAAACAATTAACTTTGCACTCATTTGTTGAATTACAATTTATTCGCCCATTTTTAAAAACTGGTTTATCTGGACACTTCACAACGGGCACTTTTTCGAGTTCACAATGATCACCTTCATAGTGACTGGGGCACGAACATTTTTCCGGTTGACTACATACACCGTTGTGTTGACAAGGTGTCTTACAAATAGCTACAAATATGAAAGGAAAAATGTATGTTATGAAATCAGACATGTTTTGAGCATAACATTATAGATGAATCTTACGTTGGCAAGCTGATGGTATGGTTTGATGTGATTGATTTGGTGCTAGATTGAATTTGCCCTTTTCGCAATTTATTTGCACAACCGTAGAACCATCGGCGAACGAATATCTATCATTACAAGTGATATTGCAGTTTGTTAAGGTGCAATTTGGATATGAGTTCAGTATATTTGGTACTGTGTCGCATGTCAGCAGCTCACATTGTTCACCACCATAGTTTTTTGGACATGCACAAAAGTTCGGTGCCGTACACGTTCCACCATTTTGACAGTGACAAACAGCTATTAAAAATGCGGAAAATAATAAAAATTATGAAATAAAAGTTTCTGGTCAAGTGTGCGTGTTTTCTTACGTTCACAATTAATTGTATTGAATGTTCCAAGTCCCTTCAATTGCCATTCGCCTACATCACAGATCAGTTCAACTTTACTCTTGTTATTCGGAAATTGAAAGCCTTGTTCGCATTCGGTGTAACAAGTGGTTGGAGTGGGACAACTGGATCGTACACGATTTTTCAGTGGAAATCCTCCACACTGGCTACTGTTGCCTGTTTAATGGTGGAAAACGTGGTTTAAATTAGCTTCATTGGTACGCCTTGGAGAGAGACTTTATTACTTTTCACCAATTCGAATAAAAAAGAAACGTTTTCTTACCCAAGTTTGGACTCCGCCTATGTCGAGTCGCAATTGAGCTTTTTTCAGTGTTGGCATTATCGTTTGGATATGCACTACCGCAGCCAATATATACGCAGACTAACAGAACGGTAAATTTGAAGAACATTTTCTTTCACAATGGAATTAAATGTTCACACAAAGTATTGTTTGACAAATTGTCGCAACTTGTTGCAACTTCCAGTAACAGCTGACCACCGATTTCGTTTGCTTGATAGTTTCCACAAAGTTCCCTTGGCTAAAGTTCACTTTGAATGATACAATTAAACTGTAGATCCATAGGCTGAGTGCTGTTGCATTTATATTCCGAAAATACTGTGCAATGACACTTGATAAGAACAATTCAATGGAAACAATGCATTATCAAAATGCGTAACGTGTTCAAATGATGCAATACGCAAAAAGTGGACGCTTAACAACGTTTTCTTGTAATTGTTTATGCATATGACGGCGTATGACATCAATTACTTGAATTTTATTTTTGTTTTCTGGCGAAAAGAACCATTTTCCTTTGAATTTTTAATTACTGCAAAATGGTGCAAGAAGAATTTCTTAAATTAAATAAGAAGTTACAATCATTCTATTTTTTGGAAAATCTGGCTTTATTGTCGTCAATGACATTATTTATACGTAAGAAAGTGGAACCAACATCATTGTTCAATTTAATATTTACTGAGAATTTTTTTGGATTACGTCTTTTTTTTAGTCATAACAGAGGCGGTCATTCATTTTTTGTCATATATGATTCATTTCATCATAATCTAGTAGCAATACAATATGAAAATGCAATAGTTTTGAAAAATTCATCAAAAATAAGAAACATCGACTTATTGATGTACAAAGAAGCACGTTCGAACCTAATTAAACATTAAAAAGTTCTTTTTTGCTCAAGTCGTCCTGAGTGATTGCCCAAAAAGACAATCTGCATAAAATAACAAATAAACATCTTTGCCAAGTAATCTCTATTTCGATTCTTTAACTAGAAGCCCCATAAAATAAAATCGTGTCAGCTTGTTATTGGAATAGTCAGATCAGATATAAAAAATTCTGATAATTATCAAAAAACCTATTTTTCGACGAATTATTTTCTATTGCTTCGTCTCATTTATCGGTCATTTTTCGTGACACTCAAGCAACATTCAATGACATTAATATGTTCGATTTCCGAGAATAGAATTGAAGAAAACAACATGGTTGAGCTTGAGCACGGTGACTTTATTTAAACGTATACACACAAATGGAATTTCACAATTTGTCAAAAGGAATGCGAAGATTTCAGTCGTTCACAAAGATTCTGTAAAAAAATATAATCAAACTCTTTTTGCAGTTAATTTCAAGTCGTTATCGCTGTTTTGCCGGTTCCAATTTTTTTTCTTGTCTCCTATTTTATTCTACTAATTATAACGCCACCCAAATAATCAATCAGAGCAATTGAAACAACACTCTGGGCCAATAAATCAAATGATTATTCAACGCATTCTTGACGATTATTAGTGATGCAAAATGTCAAATTAAATGAATAATAAACGCGAAATCGCTGTGTATTTTTATCATCGTATAGCACACTGAACTTCAACGGTTCACGAGGGATTCTATCAAATGACCGTGAATTTTTTTTTTTTGCAATCGTTTTTTTCTTTTTCTTTATTTTCGTTTGCTTAATATTTACAAAGTCTATTATCAACTATATATGAAATGTCAGAGAACATATCTACTTGTCGTACATTGAGTCAACAGTCGCCAGTACAACTGGTTATTTCGTTAAGCGCATATTTCATTTGTTTTTACAAATCAACCTCAGCCTGATGACGTGATGACCAATTATTCAGATTAAATTTACTTTTTTAACATCCAATTCAAGTTATCATTCAAAATATAGTGGAGTTATGATTTATAAAAGTCTCTCTCATAAGAATATGCAACAAACAGTTTTAATGATGAAAATAGTACGTTGAGCCTGTTTGGAAGGCTTTTCTTCCCAAGATATTCGACAAACACAATTTTCTTTATTTCTACATCATAAATTCTACACTCTATTCATTTTGTACTACTATTCTTGGAATTTAACGTTTCATAAAATTCCATCATTGCAAAAATGCCCACCGATAACTACAGCTATGGCAAACACATTCAATTGGCATATACACAAAAGAAGTTAGTTTAGTGCCATCATCACATACCAATGGGACTCTTACTTTATCGTATTTTGACATTAAACAACATTTATGTTTGGGAGATTTTCTACTCGTTAATCCGGTGGATGAAGTAACTGGTCCACATGTGCCACGACATTCAGTATACCCTCGAATTGGCTCTGTATTGACGCATTTTCCATACACTTCACCTACTAGTTGTACTATACCAACAGTTGTTGCTTCCTCCAGCGGGATTGGTTTGCATGATGAATGGCACATATCGATTGGGATGCATTTGTTGTTTCCATCAAGAGCCTGTCCCTCCGGACAACGACATCCATCGACACAATCTCTGGTGCAATTTTTGGAAGATAGTTGTAAGTCATCACAGCTGCGATAGCATGACCTGGAGCATTCTTCGTAAATTTGACCCTTTGGGCACTTGATTGCTATAATCAAAGGTAGTTCCATTATTTATCTTTATAAATTTGAATCTAATTGATTTTCGATTAAATCAAATCGTTTCCATCAAATTGTGAAAAAAGTGAAGCTTACCGCATCCCTGAATCGACTGTCTCCAATGTTCCAAAACATTTCCACGTCGACTGCATTCGTTAGCATAGGATGTGAAAATGGAGCACATCCATGTATCAATATCATCATTGAATGCGCATACATCATACAAACAGTTGTCGTAGTATGGCTTCGGGTCAACATACGGATGACAAGTTGCAAAAATATCGCTTTTTAATTGTGCACATGCTTTTTCTGCCCGTTGTTTAACCTCCACATTTGAATCGCATGGATGTGGAGAATTAAGAGCTTCATCAATGGTATTGCAACTCTCTTCAATGCATGAATCATGCAGAAGTTTACCAATCCATGAATTCATTTCATTGCCTTCAGTTGATCTTTTGTTTCTTTCGTGTGGACCATTCGATTCACAGAGACCAACCATTTTACCATTGTACAATGATATGGCGTCAACATCAACATTATACAAGCCATCATAGAAAATTCGGAAGCCATTCTTAAGAGCCACTGATATTTTCGTCGAACTTGGTAATGTAATAAGCACATAGTCACCCAGAGCATACGACGGAAAATTGCTGATTTCCTGACCATTGACTTCAACCACTAAATTTCGCTTTAAAACGATTTTAGCTTTTTTATTACCATTTTTCACTTCAATCGTTACTGATTCAACGCACGATGCCGTCGAAAAACCTGGCCGTAAGAAAATTAGCCGTGATGAATTTGAAAATACGATGTGTTAAGTCACAATTCAAAACAAAAACTACTAACATTGAACAAAATTGGCGGTGATTTCCATGTTATCGGTGTCCAGTAAACGATATGCGCCAGTTCCCATGTAATCATAGTGTGCACCATCAAAAGTACTGAAATGAGGATCTCCAGCGACTGTACAACGTTTTCTTGTGAACGGTTGAGGTTTACATGTCACATCTCCTTTTTCGCATTTACATGTGGTTGCGATTGATGATGCCTCGTCTACATGGATTGAGTTTTATTATTTTTTGTGCTTTTGATTCTCTATTTTTAATTTACCTAGGGTAATAGTTTCACTTCCAGGTTTGAAAATTAATCCGTTTGATGTGCACGGACAATCTTCCGATTGAATGCATTTTCCTTCGTGTTTGACCATTCCATTTGGACAGAAGCAGCCGGGAACACAAACGCTTCTTTCTTCTGCATTGTCACATGTTGGTTCAACGTTTGGACCGCATTTGTTATACATAAGTCCTGCGCCACATTTGGCTATAAACGAAATCAGATTGTTTTTTTTATTGATATCATTGGAAAATATAAAACAAATTGTTGCCCTAGCCTAGCACCATTGTTGAAGAACAATGATTAAAGTGGTAGAATTTTTGGAACCTCGCATGGCATAATTTAAGGAATTTCGATTTTTGAGTATTGACAACTGCCATTTGATCTGGGGCGATTAAAGGTTCAAATATCCGAATACATGATGAAGCTTGGAATATCTAGTCTTAGTTTTAGTATATCAGACCGATGGATTTAAT